AATGTCAAATTCACAAAATGGTGGTAGAGGGTGGTCACGTTTTGAAATTAAAACACCAATATTCCATCTTCCAATTAAACGAATAAACTAGAGCAGAGCAGCTAAATCTTAATAAAATTAGTTGCTTAACTCATTTTCTGGTGAAAATATCTAAATTCACATTATTAACACGTCGATTTAGTCAATGTGATACGAACATTTAATTTAATTTAATTAACTAAAACAACGCACTTCCGAACGTAAACTTACTCCAGCGCCGTCCTTTGGAGAGTTGTGGAACTAAATATGCAATGCCACTTTCTATAGAACAGAAAAATGTTCTAACTACAAAGGCCCTGAGTGTTACTGATAGCCCCCTGTGCAGAGCATCCGTGGGAGAGGAAGAAACGGCGGCTCACGTGTTGCTAACATGTCCAGAAGTCGCTTCATACAGGGCTAAACATCTCGGCACGCCGGGATCGCTCCCCGAAGTTGCTTGCAACATCAAGGGGCTACTGAGCTTCTTCGGGGAGATATCATGGCTCGAATAAGCATATTATTCCTGCCCACACGCAAAATACGCGCTTAGACGTGGAGTTGCGGAAAACAGCCCGTCGTAAACTAAACTACGCCCAAATACTTAAATATTTCGATAATTAAAATAATCAGGCGTTACTTTGCGGAAATCGGAATATTGAAGTTGTTAGAATTTAATTTTCTCATTTCCACATAATAAAATACAATGATGTTTCCTGCCCAGTCTGAAGAGCACTCGCCTCTTACCATCCCTCAGTTGCGTCCACTGCTATCCCCTTTACCACAAACACAAAAAAAAGATTAAATTCCTGCCCGCAAAATACGCGCTTAGACGTGGAGTTGCGGAAAATAGCCCATCATAAACTAAACTAAACTAATCTGCTACGCCACTACTACCTTGGATTTTCCTCTAATTAAAAAAATTAATTGGTTTCAGTCAATACCAAAACGATATGAGGCTAGAGATGAGATTCAATTCACACCAATTCATCATGTAGATATCTGGCCAGTAGAGTGTGTTATAGAAAATGATTGTAATGATGACTTTTTTGGCCTTGAATCTGTCAAAGTTGAGGAAGAGAATTTCGAATACGAGAATTCCAAATTAGAAGTAAATGGGAATCTTGAGACAGGTAAGATATAACCTTTTTTTTTTGATGTTATTAAAATGAGGTACAATTTACCTTATGACATGTGGTTACTGTAGCACATAAACAATAAATAAAGATGGCAAAGTGCATGTAAAACGCACTCACGGACAAAGAAAAAAAGTTAATAATTCTTTAAAAGTAAAGCAACATCTTTGTTAGAAATTTTCTTTTACTTATGTATAAATATATTTATAGACGTTTTGCCCCCTTATAAATGCAGCTAGTATGTATGTACACTAAGATGTATTCACTTCATAGGAATTAATGACATACTTACAGCTGGTAAGCTACCACCTATCTTTGCCAATTTCTTAACTCAGATGGACTTCTCCATCCTCCTGTTACATATTTCTGTCGTCAAAAAGCAGTGCGTGCACTGCTGTGTGCCAGTCTGAAGAGTATAAAGTCAGTATAATCACAGGCTGTGGGGCATTGCGTCTTAGTTGTCAGAGGTAGGCTTGTGAAAAGAAATCGATTATTTATTTAATCGATTTTTAAAGCGATTTTACTCTAACAGTTTTCGATTTTTTGCTGCAGAGTGTTAATGCTTGAAACATTCCAAATTTGTACTTTATCGCAATCATATCATATGAAATCAAATTAGTGTACATACATGTACGTACTGTGAAATTTCGATGTACCAGGGCTTGTTTTGAGTCTTTGTATGGCCTAAAAATAATTCCTCTATCTTAATCGTCCCGTAAACTTTCAGTGCTACACGTGGAAGCATCTCTCCCGATGTAGGGAGGATTTGCTTCAGTCGTCACGCTTGGCATAGGATTGACGATCGCAGAACCAGACGTGAGCACCTCTGGCAATGTTGCCTGTCGCCGGTCTGGATATTTCACATCTGAAGTAAACGAGATGGTTATACCGCCATATGTAAAAAACCTAAGCCAAAGTCACATTTTATCCCGTGGGTTTCGTAAGAGGCGACCTCTTACGAAACCCACGGGATAAAATGTGATGATTAATTCTCTTATGCCGCACTTACGCGTCAACTTCGACTGTACTGTGTGTGTAACACTAGTTCTGTGTGAAATTCGAAACAGCGATTATTACAATAGATTATTCTCATACTACTACCTAGACTATATTCTTAATATATACAAAAATACTTGTGAAAATGTATGTATGTATAACACTTTCTGTGTGAGTTCCAACCAGCGATTATTATATTAATTTAATTATAACACGGTCAGAAGAACATCATCATTATTATTGGAATTTCGATTCTTTACCATTCTGTCCCTCCAAAAATGAATATGAGAGACATTATCCAGAGTAATTAGCTAAAACACTTTATATCTTGCAATGTTAAATGAGTGTAATTATGTAAAATATTATAATTTCTCTATATCTCCCTGGTAAGGCATAAATTCCGCCCGCTGTAAACCGTCTAAGGTATCTTACAATAAAGATACAATGTCTTACAATAAATAAAATGTTTGATTCATTTGTATTTCAGAACAACCCTGCACACAAACAAATGTTTTTTCAAAACCTTGTGAGAAAAAGATACAATCAAATTCTACTGATTGTAACATAAATGATGTTCGTAAAGGAAACCTCGATTTAGAAAGCCCTACTATTAAATCAAAGCCTAAACTGAAAAGAGGTACTCAACCAGTTATTAAAAAAGAGAAGCATCCTGCAAAAATTATAAAAAAGAAAAAGAAAACTTTGAAACAGAGTGTAAATATACTGACGAAAGACACGTCTGAGGCATCAGCAAAATACATTTTTGAATGTGATAATTGTAGTAAAAAGTTTTTAACAAAAGATATTCTTACCGACCACATATCATACAGTCATAAGACGCAAAAGAACTTAGATGCAGTTCATACACAAGTTGAACAAATTCCAGTACCACAACTAATGGATATATATCACTGTGATATTTGCGAATTTAAAACATCTCAAAAACGTTACATTTCAACACATCTTAAAGCGCACGTCGCTAAGCAAGTGTACTGTTGTAATAATTGTGATTATAAATGTACAGATAAAGGATATTTGCAAAGGCATATGAAAATACACACCGGAGAAAAACCTTTTTCTTCTAATATCTGTGAATGTAAATTTGCGAGAAAACCTGATTTGATAAAACACATAAAAATACATACCGGTGAAAAACCTTTGTCGTGTAATATCTGTAAATATAAATTTACAAGAAAACATGATTTGAAAAAACATATAAAAATATACACCGGTGAAAAACCTTTTTCCTGTAATGTCTGTAAATATAGATGTATTAAAAAAGGTAATTTGCAAACACATATGAAAATACACACCGGAGAAAAACCTTTTTCGTGTAATATCTGTGAATACAAATGTATTGCAAAGAGTACTTTGCAAACACATATGAAAATACACACCGGAGAAAAACCTTTTTCGTGTAATATCTGTGAATATAAATTTACAAGAAAACATGATTTGAAAAAACATATAAAAATACACACCGGTGAAAAACCTTTTTCGTGTAATGTCTGTAAATATAGATGTATTAAAAAAGGTAATTTGCAAACACATATGAAAATACACACCGGAGAAAAACCTTTTTCGTGTAATATCTGTGAATATAGATGCATTACAAAAAGTCATTTGCTAAGTCATATAAAAATACACACCGGAGAAAAACCTTTTTCGTGTAATATCTGTGAATATAAATGTATTACAAAGAGTACTTTGCAAACACATATAAAAATACACACCGGAGAAAAACCTTTTTCGTGTAGTATCTGTGAATTTAGGTGTAATACAAAAAGTTATTTGCAAACACATATGAAAATACACACCGGAGAAAAACCTTTTTCGTGTAATATCTGTGAATATACATGTATTACAAAGAGTACTTTGCAAACACATATGAAAATACACACCGGAGAAAAACCTTTTTCGTGTAATATCTGTGAATATAAATGTATTACAAAGAGTACCTTGCAAACACATATGAAAATACACACCGGAGAAAAACCTTTTTCGTGTAATATTTGTGAATATGAATGTATTACAAAGAGTACTTTAAAAACACATATGAAAATACACACCGGTGAAAAACCTTTTTCCTGTAATGTCTGTAAATATAGAAGTATTACAAAAGGCAATTTGCAAACACATATGAAAGTACACACCGGAGAAAAACCTTTTTCGTGTAATATCTGTGAATATAGATGCATTACAAAATGTCATTTGCTAAGGCATATAAAAATACACACCGGATAAAAACCTTTTTCGTGTAATATCTGTGAATATAAATGTATTGCAAAGAGTACTTTGCAAACACATATGAAAATACACACCGGAGAAAAACCTTTTTCGTGTAATATCTGTGAATATAGATGTGTGAGGAAACCTACTTTGCAAAGGCATTTGAATATACACACTGGAGCAAAATCTTCTTCGTGAGATATCTGGTAAAATATGTACAATAGCTGCGAAAACCCGCTTCGCTGGGTTAGTTTTTTGTCGAATATTTATTCATGTATGTATATTTTATTAAATTAGTATTTTTTTTTAATTAAGAACACGTGCCTTTTCTTGTGACATTTTTAAGACTTTTTCTTTCTTACATATTTTTTTATTCATTATACAAAAATACTTTACAGATAGTCATGTACTGAATACCTATATTCAATACATTCTTATGCACTACATTTACTGTCTTATGTTCTGGTGCATCTAGTGAGTTGACCATGTGATAAACGGGATTCTCTCAACAGCCATTCTGTAAATCATTTGAAATTAATTGAATTCGTGGTATAAAAACGGATTTTCCTTTTTCTTTTTGATTCATCACTGTGTCTATTGATTTATACAGTTTTTCATCTGGTGTCATATTCTGTATCCTTTCATTAATTTGCACTTCCATGTCCTATTTATATAATTCTGTTCATCAGACGGATAAACTTTTTCAAAAAGTTCTTCTTCTGTATCAACTATGTTACACAATTCTTTTGATAGAATAAGTTTGCCTAGCTGTGAATCTATGTAGGATATATAGTGTAGTATAAAAACAACAAACTCTTGTGCTTCCGGATCTCCAGTAATCTTTGCTCGCATATTTTCTATTAGTGCTAATTTTTCAATACGATCCCAGAACGTTAATCGCTTCAAACATGCGAATTTTTTAATAACCTTGTCTAACTTAACTAACCTAACCTTGTTTGTCGAACATCTCCGAATAATAATAGTAAAATTTTTCACATAAGTTTTTTATTTTTCCCGATATCCTGTAACGTTCTATTTAATGCTTAAGACGAGGCATGACCCTAAACGCAAGTTTTATAATGCCTCAAAGTAAATGATCCACTGCAGTAAACAAACCCAGAAAATGTATGATATTGTCCAGGATATATCCTAGTTAGATAGTGTGTTGAAAACATGATACAACTAATTTAATACGATAGAAAAAAATCACAAACATACCTCCAAAAATTTCTTTTAACTAGTAAAAACCATACTAGTATACATTCAATCATTCTGATTTTTTGTCAGATTTTTATACATTCAACATATTATCGTTATAATGTTTCAATTTTTTAGTCCAACTAATAGTTTTTTTTTTTCAAATCACATATTCTTATTTCTGAAATAATACGTACGGATGTTTGCGTAAACGCCTGTGCAGTCACTGCCGGCCGAGGCCTGGTGCTGTAGAGACGTGTCGCTCTTTTTGCCGCAGTATTTACGTTAAGATTTTTTAAGGACGCGTTTACAAAATTGATATAAGTATAGAATCGAACTATTACATTGACATGAGTCACGCACACAAGTGTACGCACGGTTGGCTGCGGGAATCGTAGTCAAATAAAATTATTTTAATAATTTGAAAGATCAAATTTGTTTTTGATTTCTTACACCACAAAAATATACTTAGATACATAGGGCGGATTCGACCAAAGTTAGTATAAGTCTTATCCTGCGTATAAAATCACTAATTACTCTAGAGTTAGAGAACTTTTCGTTTTACCAAATCTTAACCCGGGTATAACAGACTATCCGAGAGTAAATCGCTATACTGCCAAAATTCATGGAGTAAACAAGTTATCCTAGAGTATTTTAATGGCGACCGCTACATTTTGACAGCTGTTTTCGTATGCTTTGTTGTAAAAGTGGGAAATTTTATAGTTGTGCATTTATAATTTCTTGTACTTTTGTGATAATAGTAGGCTTTATTTTTTTAAATAATGCAACGTTTACGAAATATGATCGAAGATTCTGACAGTGATGAAGAATACATTCCAATGCGTCCACGATAGATAAGAGAAAGGAACAATTATTTCGATAACTATGATGACCGTGACTTCGTAATAAGGTTTCGATTGTCCAAAGAAGCTACTTTGTGTCTTTTATCCAAAATCGAGCATCAACTGGAATATACATCAAACCGGTATGTACCTACACACCTTTCACTATATATTTGTCTACATAAACAATGGTGCACACACACCTACCTAGATATATTTTTTCTAAAAGCTATGTGTGTTGCTCGAAGACTTAAAACTAAAATATTATAGTAAGTAGTAGCAGTAGTAGTAGTTAGTACCTATGTTATCTAAAGTTCCTTTTTCTTTTAGACATTTTTAAATATCTCCAGTAAATCAGTTGTTGGCTACTTTGAGATATTATCCAACAAAATGGACACAAACAAGCATTGGAGAATACTGTGGTCTAAGTACACCGACAGCAAACAAAATTGTACACAGAGTTAGTGCTGCAATAGCTGCATTACATACAGAATACATAAAATTTCCTGAATCGCCTCAAGAAATAAGATATGAACAAGATAAATTTTACCAAATAGCTCGTTTTCCAAGAGTAGTTGGAGCCATGGACTGTACACACGTTCGCCTCACATTCGTACCCTTAAGACTGGAAGTAGGTGAAGAACAAGCAGAGACATTTAGAAACAGAAAAGGATACTACTCCATTAATGTGCAAACAATATGTAATGCCAATTTAGAAATAACCGACATAGTCGCAAGATGGCCAGGTTCAACTCATGACAGCACTATATTTAATAATAGCGTTCGAAAAGCACATTTTGAGACTGGTCGCTATGGTAATGCATTATTATTGGTGGACAGAGGATATGCTGCAAAGAGTTACACTATGACTCCATTAGAAAATCCAAGGACACCAGCTGAACAACTGTACAATGAGTCACAAATTCGTACTAGAAATCCTATAGAAAGGTGCTATGATGTATGGAAAATAAGATTTCAAGTGTTGGCACTTGGCGAGTAAAATTAGATAAAGCACTAACTGTTATCATAGCCACAGCAGTACTTCACAACATGTTGCGCAGACGAGGAGAACAACTGCCACCTGATGACCCAGAAGTGCTATTGCCAGCTCCATGGGATGAACTTATACAACTTGGACAAATGCAAAGCTCGGAATCAGCACAGCAATCTACTGGCCAGTTAGCACGCAATTCGTTAATAAGTAATTATTTTTATAGTTTATTGTAGCTATGGAATGTAGATTGCAGTGATTCTTAATTTTATTAATCCAAATTTGAAAAAAGGTATAAAATAAAACATTGAAATAAATAAATTTAATATTTTATTGTTTATTGTTGAATTTCTTTTTCTTTAATCTTAAATCTAATAATAAAATACGGGTCTTTAATTTTTCTTGTTTTAATTGTTCCCTTTTTTATTTGTAAATCCAGATTGTGAACTTCATTTGAATGAGGTAGCTCCTTCTCAGCAACACTTTTCTGAAAATCAATTGCTTCCATTTTCTTATCATGCAATTTCTGCAATGATGATGAAGGAGCTACATATGTAGGTCGCCTTCTTGAAACCCAAGATTTTTGTAGTTTTCCTTGCTCATTTTTGTCATACTGAAGAGGTTTTGCAACAGGAGTTCTTAACATTTCGGGAGTATAATCACTCCAATCCTAAAACAAAGATTTATATTAAAAATGTTAACAACATAATACCCATATAATATTTCATCTCACAAAAAACATTTAAATGATAAAATTAAAAACAAGTCTACTACAATGTTGGAACACAAATTATAGGCAAGTCTGGCTTTATTTGACAGGGCAGGTTGCAGCATGGCAAGAATAGAAGATATATAGTATGCACATTTGTTAAAAAGAATATGCACCTTTTTTCAATATACACGCTGCCTCATTTTTTACATCCTATTAAAAAATTAGCTCCACCTATCACAAAATTACAAACAGTTAAATCAGGACCCCATGGTATGTGTGTAAAAATTTATAATAAAATTCCCAAATGTCTGAAGAATCGTTGTATAAATTTCAAAGAGAGCTTAAAATTATTTAATTGAAAAAAGTTTCTATTCGTTGTCAGAGTTTTTCTGGTGAAAAATAATAATTGTTTAATTTGAATATGTATACCTCTTTAATATCCTTGTAAATATTGCAAATGTTTATTAAACCTAAAAGTAATGTTTAGTTTAAGTAAATAAAATAAAATTCATCTGTTTAAATTAATTAGATTAACCTTTTGAGCGCCAAAGTCGTCTATACGTGACCAGCACCCGCGTGCCCTGAGCGCCAACGACGTCTATAGATGACAAAAAACCCGGCCCACAAAAATATGAAATATAGACATTGGAAAATTATTACTGATATTTTAATTCTACACCCCTCAAAAAAGAATAACCCTGCAACATGTGAGTATAAAAAACAAGTCTTCTAGAGCCACAAGTACTAAGAAACATTGAACTAAAAAAAATGTATTTTTATCTAAGCAAATACTATGTCCAGCACGCCAAAGTCGTCTATGTTAGACCGCTAGTGTTGTAATGCGTTAGCCATAAATTTATTGAAAACTATTCAAAATTAAGCTCAAACGTGTTATTTTTTTCTATTATTATTGATATTTAAATAAAACAAAAGGTTAGAAATATAAAACTATAATTAGCTACTTGAATTTAAAAAAAAATTAACAAATTATCTTCGCATAATAAATCTAATATCTCAACTCTGGCGCATCCTTAGCGTGACATCGAAAATCAGTTCACTGGGCGCCGTGGTCAAGTATAGACGACACACTGATGACGTCATAAGCGATTAGCGGGAAAATTAGTGCAGTGCAACATGAACGATTCCTCAGAACTCATTCGGATTTTGGAAAGCGTCGACGATGATGAATTTTCGGAAATTTAAAATTATCGTGAAACCAAAGTTTTTCGTTTTCGATTAACTCTACCTCAATGAGGTAGGAATACACTTTATAGTTTTTTACGGTTAATTTCTTTTTTATAGCATAGGGTAATAAACGAGCACACAGTCCACCTGATGGTAAGTGGTTGCTGTGGCCCATAGACATTTACATCTATCCTCGATTACGAATCAAAATGCAGATGCGCTCTCACCCGTGAGGACTTAGATGGAATGCCTCGTTTCCAGTAAAGAGGGTCTCCGGTTCTCTACACTTACCATACGAAACACAGCAGCATTAAGCTACTATTTGATGCCGATATTCCGTGAGAGCGTGGTTCTTCCCCGGTTGAGCCGACCCATTCGTGCTACAACTACTAACTCCCGTAATATAACTGCAGCATGGCTCTACCACGTTAGAAAATTTGCTTTGGCCAGCTAAACATTTATGTTTTATTATTCCATAAGATTTTTATTATTTTAAGACTAATATTACCTATAATTTATTAATTATTTTTAATTGTTGTTTTCTATATTAAGTATTGATTGAGTTAAAGACCAAGATTTTAATATTTTATGACTAGACCTAGTGCAAATAATTATTTACAATTGTTGAATAATTATGTACCCTTTGTTGATTTCTGTAATAAGTACTGATTTTTTTATTCCATGACCAAGATTTTAATATTATAAGACTGATTTTTCTAGTGCGAATAATTACCTATATACAGTTGTTGATTAGTGAATAATTACGTACCTTTTCTATTTTAATAATATAAAATTACAAATATTAATTAATGTGTTTTCTTTACTTAAGGTATGAAGAGCAATTTTCATTTTGTGTTGTGCGATTTTCTTTCTCAATCTTAAAATCATTTAGCAACATCAGTATCATATGAAACCCCCTTTATCATAAGAGCGTAAGACTTTTCTTCTGTGATTCACTTGGCCTACGCCTTGCCATAAAATATTTTGAATAGATGTCTTTATATTTTGGTTACATCGATTTTGAAATCGATACACAACGTGCGACACGGCTACATCTCTAAGAAAGTTTCAAAAAGAAAGGTCAGCTACGCCGTTGTCGTCCAGTCGTGACAGTGACGTCATCACGACGGAGAGTAGTGTTGTGGTTTACTACTATTTTATTGTTATTGTTTGTTTTTTATTTATGTACAAAGTACATATATAAAAAGAGTGGAAGACAGCACAAGATTAAATAAAACATACCCGATTATAAAGACTCATTTATTGTATAAAAAACCAACAAAAACAAGTTATTTTGTGTTATCGATATATCAACTCTTGGCAGCACTGTTTTTTTCGTAGGTATTTTTGTTTACTTTTCGCTTTGGCATACAGGACACGGTAGTGAGTTTTTGGCGTGGCGCTCAAAAGGTTAAATTGATATATAATATAATATTGCTACGCCCTATCAGGGCTCATGTTTGGCTCTAATATATCCAACATAAGAACTATTTATGTAACCACATGAACGCAATAAAATGTTTGAGTCTGAAAATGACAGACTTGGCTTTACCTACTCCGAACTATTTATTGTAATGGAGTCAAGATACTTATGTTTAGCAAGTTATAACAAAACATAGCATATATTTACTATATACTATGGGTGCTTCAGATGTATAATGTATAGAGCTACAGAAACTAATTTACCTGCATTAATACTTCGTTCGAGTCGATCCCAGTCTTTTGAATTTCATTAAGTTCAGTCTCAAGATCTGTAACCAAATTTTAAAGGTAAAACAATTTTGTATGGTTTCTCTAGGGTCCTTGACTAAGCTGTAAGATACTAACCTTTATTACATAATTCTGGCTCCTCAGGCAAAATAACTTGAACCTCAGCAAAATTATGCCTCTCTAAGCTATCTGGGGCAACACTGTCACTGTCAAAATGGTTGAAAAGCCCAACAGCACCTGTTTTAATTAATGATATGATTTTGGAATCTAGAGGATCTTCTATCTTTGGATTTGTTGGTCCACCACCTAAAATATACAAAATTGTTAAAGTAAAAGTATTTAAAGTATGCCATTTCTCACATTTTCAAAATATTTCTAACATAAATAATAATCCCATTATTTAGGAGACAAAGGAAATAAATCACTTAATCAGACCGCAGCATTGTACTATCAAGTGCTTAATAATAATGGTACATTGAACACCTAAAGATCTTTAGGATAAGCATGTTCCCAGTAGTGGCTAACACTATATAAATGTATGTAGGCATATCTCAGTCCGCTGCTCCTCCAGTTATAAGCTCATAGTTACTCCTGTCCATATTTCTAATGTATACCAAAGATTTATAGGTTTTTAGCCTAAATAACTGGATCAACACAAACATTGATAAGGTAAGGCAGGATAAAAACTAACCTGTTTGGATTCTATGCATCCTCCTGTATGACTCATTTTTTAAATTTTCTGCTGTACGCGAGCAGTGTGTCGTTTGGCTATTGTATTCGTGGGATAAAATTTGCCATTCGGCAAATTTTTGCTTCATCGTAACACCATCTGTTTTTTTATTTTCGATGACACGAAAATGTTTTTCTACGAGTCCTAACAACAAACTCTTTTCCGAAGGTAACCAATTTGGGCTACGTTTTCTTTTTTTCTCCAGACATTTTATTTGAAAATATAAGAATTAAGGGTAAGGTTAGAATAATTAACTGACAAGTCGCGTGTTAATTTTAATGTTTGTTCAGTGACAGTGACAGTTGACACTATTATAATCCGGCAAACTTTAAATAGACAGAAAGTCTTGCATTGCATTGCAATCATAAACAAATGTATTTCGATTTTAGTTGGCTTACAAGTTCATTCATTTTTCATTCCCCAACTCTAGAGTAACAATACCCAGTATTGGCTACTCTCCGTTTGTGTTGGAAAAACACAAACCAAATTATCCGAGAGTAACAACAGAGAGGTGTAAGACAGGGTGACGTTATATCCCCGAAACTCTTCACCGCTGCATTGGAAGACGTTTTCAAGCTACTGGACTGGAAAGGATACGGTATTGACATCAATGGTATACTCAAATGGAGTACATCACTCACCTTCGATTTGCCGACGATATAGTCCTTATGGCAGAATCGCTGGAGGACTTAAGCACTATGCTCAATGACCTCAATAGTGCCTCCCAACGGATAGGTCTTAAGATGAACATGGACAAAACAAAGATCATGTTCAATGTCCATGTCACACCTATGCCGGTAGTTGTTGGGAGCACTATGCTCGAAGTTGTTGACGAATACGTTTACCTGGGACAAATAGTCCGACTAGGTAAGTCCAACTTCGACCGAGAGGTCAATCGACGGATTCAACTCGGCTGGGCAGCGTTCGGGAAATTACGGCATATCTTTTCGTCAGGTATACCTCAATCTCTAAAAACTAGATTGTACAACCAGTGCGTGTTGCCAGTGATGACTTACGGATCTGAGACGTGGTCCTTCACTGCTGGCCGTATGAGGACGCTTAAGGTCGCTCAGCGAGCTATGGAGAGGGATATGCTCGGAGTTTCTCTGCGTGATAGACTCAGAAATGAGGATATCCGCAGTAAAACCAGAGTGACCGACATAGCCCAACGGATTAGTAAGCTGAAGTGGCAATGGGCCGGCCATATAGCTCGAAGAACCGATAACCGATGGGGAAGAAAGGTTCTCGAGTGGCAGCCTCGTACCGGTAGGCGTAGTGTAGGGCGACCCCCCACTAGATGGAGTGACGACCTGGTAAGACATGCAGGAAGTCGATGGATGCAGGTGGCTCAGGACCGTGCTTTGTGGCATTACTTGGGGGAGGCCTATGTTCAGCAGTGGACTTGTGAAGGGCTGTAATGATGATGATGATGATGAAGAACAAGGAGTTCGAGGGTTAGTTACTCTGGAGTAACATTGAATTTGGTCGAATCCGCCCATAGAGTAATAAGACTTAGTTACGAGGTACGAATACCTACTCTAGAGACTGCTTTGCACTGGGAGCCCTCTGCTGGCACTGAGAAGTTAGCTGTGGACTTTGGGCTGATTTTGTCAGTTGTGATAAAACCTTACCTCCGGACTTGATGGAGTGACCTGAAAGTGAACTTCAGTAACTAATACTGGAACACCTGGACTAGTAGAACTAGGTGTGCCGACTTTGGGCTCGTTTTATTAGGTATGACGAGCCCTTACCTCCGGACTTGACGGAGTGACCTGAAGGTGAACTTTAGTAATCGGTATTGGAGCAGGTCGCCGAGTAGGTATTACTAGGTGTGCCGAGTTTGGGCTCGTTTTGTTAGGTATGACGAGCCCTTACCTCCGGACTTGATGGAGTAACCTGAAGGTGCACTTTGGTAATCGGCATTGGAACAGGTCGCCGAGTACTATTAGGTGTGTCGAGGTTGGGCTCGTTTTGTTAGGTATGACGAGCCCTTACCTCCGGACTTGATGGAGTGACCTGAAGGTGTACTTTGGTAATCGGTATTGGAACAGGTCGCCGAGTACTACTAGGTGGGCCGAGTTTGGGCTCGTTTTGTTAAGTATGACGAGCTCTTACCTCCGGACTTGATGGAGTGACCTGAAGGTGTACTTTGGTAATCGGCATTGGAACAGGTCGCCGAGTACTACTAGGTGTGACGAGTTTGGGCTCGTTTTATTAGGTATGACGAGCCCTTACCTCCGGAATTGACGGAGTGACCTGAAGGTGTACTTTGGTAATCGGTATTGGAACAGGTCGCCGAGTACTACTAGGTGTGCCGAGTTTGGGCTCGTTTTGTTAGGTATGACGAGCCCTTACCTCCGGACTTGATGGAGTGACCTGTTTTTGATTTCTTACACCACAAAAATATACTTAGATACATAGAGTAATAAGACTTAGTTACGAGGTACGAATACCTACTCTAGAGACTGCTTTGCACTGGGAGCCCTCTGCTGGCACTGAGAAGTTAGCTGTGGACTTTGGGCTGATTTTGTCAGTTATGATAAGACCTTACCTCCGGACTTGATGGAGTGACCTGAAAGTGAACTTCAGTAACTAATACTGGAACACCTGGACTAGTAGAACTAGGTGTGCCGACTTTGGGCTCGTTTTATTAGGTATGACGAGCCCTTTCCTCCGGACTTGACGGAGTGACCTGAAGGTGTACTTTAGTAATCGGTATTGGAGCAGGTCGCCGAGTAGGTATTACTAGGTGTGCCGAGTTTGGGCTCGTTTTGTTAGGTATGACGAGCCCTTACCTCCGGACTTGATGGAGTGTCCTGAAGGTGTACTTTGGTAATCGGCATTGGAACAGGTCGCCGAGTACTATTAGGTGTGTCGAGGTTGGGCTCGTTTTGTTACGTATGACGAGCCCTTACCTCCGGACTTGATGGAGTGACCTGATGGTGTACTTTGGTAATCGGCATTGGAACAGGTCGCCGAGTACTACTAGGTGGGCAGAGTTTGGGCTCGTTTTGTTAGGTATGACGAGCCCTTACCTCCGGACTTGATGGAGTGACCTGAAGGTGTACTTTGGTAATCGGTATTGGAACAGGTCGCCGAGTATTACTAGGTGGGCCGAGTTTGGGTTCGTTTTGTTAAGTATGACGAGCTCTTACCTCCGGACTTGACGGAGTGACCTGAAGGTGTACTTTGGTAATCGGCATTGGAACAGGTCGCCGAGTACTACTAGGTGTGCCGAGTTTGGGCTCGTTTTATTAGGTATGACGAGCCCTTACCTCCGGAATTGACGGAGTGACCTGAAGGTGTACTTTGGTAATCGGTATTGGAACAGGTCGCCGAGTTCCAATGCCGATTACCAAAGTACACCTTCAGGTTACTCCATCAAGTCCGGAGGTAAGGGCTCGTCATACCTAACAAAACGAGCCCAAACTCGGCCCACCTAGTGGTACTCGGCGACCTGTTCCAATGCCGATTACCAAAGTACACCTTCAGGTCACTCCGTCAAGTCCGGAGGTAAGGGCTCGTCATACCTAACAAAACGAGCCCAAACTTGACACACCTAGTAGTACTCGGCGACCAGTTCCAATGCCGATTAATAGAGTACACCTTCAGGTCACTCCATCAAGTCCGGAGGTAAGGGCTCGTCATACCTAACAAAACGAGATCAAACTCGACACAACTAGTAGTACTTAGCGACCAGTTCCAATACCGATTACCAAAGTACACCTTCAGGTCACTCCATCAAGTTCGGAGGTAAGAACTCATCATACCTAACAAAACGAGCCCAACCTCGGCACACCTAGTAGTACTTAGCGACCTGTTCCAATGCCGATTGCCAAAGTACACCTTCAGGTCACTCCATCAAGTCCGGAGGTAAGGGCTCGTCATACCTAACAAAACGAGACCAAACTCTCGGCACACCTAGTAGTACTTAGCGACCTGTTCCAATGCCGATTGCCAAAGTACACCTTCAGGTCACTCCATCAAGTCCGGAGGTAAGGGCTCGTCATACCTAATAAAACGAGACCAAACTCGGCACACCTAGTAGTACTCGGCGACCTGTTCCAATACCAGGTCACTCCATCAAGTCCGGAGGTAAGGTAATAGAAAACAGTAAAATAAATTTGAATTTTCTAATGGTTTTATTTGAAACTATTCTTTTTCTCCTATTTTAGCTATTTTGCAAACGAAACTTGGTTTTTTATAGAATTTGTGAGGTGGCGTTTTAAATGTTTATGTATGTAAATAGTTGACTAAGTACCTACCTGCTCATATCATAAAACTGACTTTAAAAAATATTGATAATTAAAATGTAGTATGATGTCCAGACTAACTATATTGTAAACAGTTTTGATATTAGTGAGTAGGTTCTCAAAATATGATTACTATAAAGGCTGGCGTCGACTAGGCGCGCCGAGTCGAATCGAATCGAAGCGCAGAAATTCGCTCCCTATATATTTACTATGAAATTGCGTCCATCTGTGAAGAGCCGCGGCGCGCCGAGCCGAATCTCTCGCGCGCATCGCTCATCGAGCGATTTTTTGCTCCGGCGCGTTGCGACTCTGCTCGGCGCGCCTCAGTCGACGCAGAGGTGCGGAAGCGTGTCTTTATTAATTACGTCTATTTTTAGTCATTTTTAAAATGAATGAAGAACTTTTGATATCATTAGTCCAATCCTACTCTGAATTATACAATCAAGAAGATCCACGTTACCATGACGACCAGCGTCGGATGAATATATGGGAGGAGATATCTAAGATTATGAATGAAACACGTGAGTTATTTACTTAGACTTTTAATTATGGCAAATAACTACTAGAGGATTCATTTCGATTCGACGCGACGCGTCAGTGATTAACGCACCCAGGAGGCGATTCGGCTCAGCTCGACGCGCTCGATGACATTCGCCTCGGCTGTAGTCGACGCCTGCCTTAATACCTAGTGGTGTTGAGAACAGTAAACCTCACGGAAAAGTTTTTGTTTGGAGGTGAATTGTCTGCTTGCTTTGCGCATACTGTGTTCACGTGGCGCTCTCCGACAGCCGGTTGCGCTCCGCCCACTGCGGGACGCGCGGGTGAAAAACGAATTTGAAATCGTGCTAAGAGCTCGTCTTAAAGTGATTTTCTGTGAGCCATTGTACTTACATCCCAAATTATAAATGCACATCGCATCAAAACCTGGCAACGCGTAGAAGATCTTGAAACATTACAGACTGGAAATTCTTGTTGGGCTATATTTAAAGGCAAACTGAATTCCATTAATAATTCTCGGGGTCAAGTATTGCACTAGAGCTGTGCAATAAAATATTTATTACCGTATACCGTAAAAGGTTGTTTCGCTTGAAAAAAATCCGGGGGCGCGCCCTTCCCCCCCAAAGGGCCCCGGTTAGGAATTTAATTTTTTTACGTATCGTAATCGTAAAATTAACATCTATATCGCGAGATTGTAAACTGTTGAAAGATTGTGAACCGTAACATACTGCTTACAATGTAACGCATTATTTTTCGGTAGATTGTAATAATATATGTTAAAATTGTAATAATATATCTTAGAATTAGTCAAAAGGTTGTTCTGGCCGAAAGTTGTTAGTACCTAACCTTTTTTTATGGTTCCGTACCTCAAAGGGAAATAACGGAACGCTTTTGGGATCAGGTAAATAGGTACATAACACACACACACACACACACACACACACACAGCTATATACATATATATATATATATATATATATATATATATACACATATATATATATATATATATATATATTAATTCATTTCATCATTTGCAAAGGTACTCACACAAAACGAAAAGCAGGTACTAAGCAAAAATCAGTCAGTATACAAAGATAATCGTGTAGTGGCATGCGTGGCCATGAAACCGACATGTAATATATAAACCGCTGCGGAAAGTTTTGATAAGGAACAACTATCGGCAGATAATACAGAACATTGTAAGTAAGATGGAAACTAGCAAAAAGAAAGGATCATGGATAACTGTACAGAAAAAGAAATATCCTGAGAGGCAAGTCTTAAGAGGAGGAAATACTGGTACAGGAAATATTCAAGGTACTGAAAGGAAAAAAAAATTAACATGTTTGGCGATTAAAAAAGGATACCACAGTAGAAAGTTTGGAAGGACATGTAAAGAATATATGTGGAAAAGAGACGGAAATAACAGTGAAAAAAATTAAACATAAGACGGAACGAGACTATGCGTCATTTATAATAGGAGTTCCAGAAAGTTCATACGAAATACTATGTAAACCAGAATGTTGGGCAGTTAACCCTTAATCACCTACCCACCTACGGGACAAGGATATTGAAAATTTGTTAGAAAATGAGTTATCAGATGAGAAGATGATCTGCCTAACGATGAATGCAGTGAAGTCGAAAGTAATATTGACGAACAGGAAGTAGTAGAAGAAGATTGCGGATCGGATTCAGAAATTGATGGTGAGGAAGATCTGGCGTCATCGGAAAAAGGTAATAGCGAACCATCTTCAAATTTTACTGATCATGTAACTGCAGACTCTGACTTTTCATCGGAAGATGACATGTCGCTGGCAGAATTGCGTAGAAAGAAAAACTATTTTGGAAAGAATCGTTTCCGTTGGGCATCTGTTCCTTCGTCTTCACGTACAAGAACATTAGAGCATAATATTGTCAGGGAGCGTGAAGGTATCAAACCCGAATACCGAGATCAAATAAATTCCTCATCTTCTCCACTGAACATATGGAAGTTGTTCTTTACTGACGAAATGCTCGAAAACATTGTTTTGCACACTAATAAGAAAATAAGAGAGATTAGATCAAACTATCAAAAGCAAACCTGTGTTCAAGATATAGATCTAATGGAATTGAAAGCTTTCATAGGATTCCTGTTCTATACAGCTATATTTAAGGAAAACCGCGAACACTATTCGTCATGGTATAGCATGGACGGTACAGGAAGGGAAATATACCGTTGTATTCTGAGTAAAAATCGATTCGAAGTGTTGCTCAAAACCATTCGTTTTGATGACGCAGAGACCAGACTGGCACGTCAAAAGCACGATCCTTCTGCTCCTATTTCTGAACTCTTTGATTCCTTCATAAACCGTTTTTCAAGCTGTTTATGCAATCGGAATTGTGCATGTATCGATGAAATGTTACTGGCATTTCGTGGCAGATGCCACTTCAAGATGTATATGCCAAAAAAACCAGTCAAATATGGCATAAAAATACAGTGCCTTACAGATGCAAGATCGGGCTACTTGCTCAATGCCTACATTTATTTGGGAAAGGATTCCGATGGGTTCAATTTGTCAAATTTGAGTATCAAAGACTGAAAAAACCAACTCAGGCAGTTCTGCGCCTTATACCTCCAATTGAAGGTTCTAATCGAAATGTGACTACCGACAATTGGTACACATCTATAGAGCTATTGGAACAAATGACAAAGAAGCAGCTGACAGTTGTTGGTACGTTGCGAAAGAATCAAAGAGAAATTCCCCCAGAATTTTTGCCCGCTCGTAACAGAAATGTTGATACTACTGTATTAGGATTTACAAAAGATATTACAATATCATCATATGTGCCGAAACTAAACAAAGAAGTGATTACCGTCTCAAGTATGCACCATACTGCAAATGTTGACAATACTACAAAGAAACCGGAGATAATACTATATTATAATGAAACCAAAATTGGTGTAGATTTACTAGATCAGAGATGCGACAACTACTCAACAGGCCGTCGCACTCGTAGATGGCCGTTGGCAGTATTTTACAGGTTGCTAGATATTTCAGCTTCAAACTGTTACGTTGTCAGCTTATCTGCTAAAGACCAAACTCAAAAAACTGAAAGCAGAATGATTTCTTATATTTACGCGAACACTATACATGATTAAAACTACTTTTACGGATTTTACTTTTTATTTACTTTTATTTTTGATTCCCGACGTTTCGGGCGCTTTCCAGCACCCATGGTCACGGGGGATCAGTCCCCCGTGACCATGGGTGCTGGAAAGCGCCCATGGTCACGGGGTAAAAATAAACGCGATAAAATCCGTAAAAGTAGTTTTAATCATTAATCAACTGAAAGCAGATTCAAATTCCTGAAGAAATTAGCCGAACAGCTCACAAGACCACATATGGAGCGCCGTGAAAATAATCCTCAGATGCAACGGCATATAAAAATCGCTCTTCGACGTATACTCCATCACAAAGACGAGGCGACTCCAGCAGAGGTTCCAGGTGGCAGTCATGCTAAAGAAAGGTTAGCTGTTCGCAAGACTTGTTCTACTTATGACCCGAAAAAGAAACGCAGAACCCAATATATTTGTTTCGAATGTAAGGTACCCATTTGCCTCGAATGTTCTAATAAACTGTGCAATTTTTGCCGTGAAAAAATGTAAAGTTTATGGTCTGCAATTTTGTTGATTGAGTTGTTCTAGAAAGTAAATAAAAATTTTTATCTCTTTGTTGATTATTAAATAATTAAAAATTAGTAGTGAATAAGCATTATTTTTTTGTAATTTTTTTATTGTTCTCATTATCCAAAGACTATTTTGTAGCAACAAAAGTGAGATGGTTTTTGTTATTCAGATTATGCAAAATATAATCATTTTTATTTTGTGTTTCTTAATATAATACATAGTTTCTAACATAATTAAAATGTTATTTTATTTTCCATAACCTTTCAATTACAAATATTATACATGCGAGGGTAATTTGACACACACGTCTCTAAGACGGGTGGTAGGTGGTTATGTTACAAAAATAGGAGGTAAGTAGTTAAGGGTTAACATTGAATTTTGTGAATGGGTGTGGTTTCGTAAACCACACAATAAGTAATAAGAAACCACTCAATTTTGTGGAGATATACTATCAGAACGTGAGACGATTGAGAACAAAATTACACGATTTTTATGTGGGAATTTCTTCCCATAGTTATGATTTTTTTGCAATAACAGAAACTGGATGTAACAATTCTATCTATGATTCAGAACTCATCCCACCTGGATACATGACACTTCGGTGTGATCGGGCAGACGGGCGCAAGCTGGGTGGTGCGTGACCACGATACGAGCTGCGGCAACTAAATACACCGAACGATGTACGTATTCAAGATCACGCATTTGATCTGGTTTGCGGTTTATCAACAAAATAAGTTCATGTTTGTGTTGTGTGTAGTATACATTCCACTGAGTTGTAGTGATAATGAATACATGTTGTTGTTAAGTACCTATAATAGAAAATTATCGTGATGACTACAATGATTTAATAGTGATAGGCGATTTTAATTTATATTCTAGCTCAACAAATGTACGCAATCATTTTGAGTACTTTTGCACATATTGTGAATTCACCCAGTACAACAAAATAGGAAATTGCAATGAACGACAATTAGATCTTGTTTTAAGCACGCGTTCAGTGGAAGAAGAGTTAGAGGTGCGCGCGGCTGAGCCAATCGTGCCGCCCGACCCACATTATCCGCCGCTCGCTACTGCGGTGCCAGCGGGGGCGAGCGCGGTGCGGCGGCCAGCCACCGCCCGCGCCGCTGCTAGCTGAGTCTGAGGGAAGCACCCACACGCATACTGGATACAACTTCTATAAAGCAAACTTTTTGCTAATGTATTCGTTAATATCGGCCATAGATTGGACGCCAATGTATATGTTAGATGTAAATAGTAGTTTAGATTATTTTTATGAGGTTTTAACAAAGTTATGGATGACTGCGTTCCAAGAAAAAAGAGACGACGTGTAAACTCGGAGTACATTTACCCCGAGTGGTACACGATAGACATTATTCGCGACATACAATAAAATACTAGGCTTCATAGACAGTTTAAGGTTAGCAAATCAAGGGTCTATTACGAGGCGTTTGCTAAGTGTAGAACGTATGTAAAATATTCAATAAACTCCACGTACAAAATTATAAAGACCAGATGCAGAGTAAGTTTCAGGAAAATCCAAAGGCGTTTTGGGCTGACATTAACTCAAAAAAAAGACAACAGAAGTCCACGCACGATTTTAAAAGATGATAAGGTACTTACTAGTGAGCAGTGTGTTACTGAGTTTGGTCAGTATTTTTATTCGGTATTTAGCCCTAAGATGTCTAAGCTGGACGTGGAGGCGGCAGTGAAACAGGCTGGTGGTAAGAATGGAGCGGCTAGGGTACACTTAGAACAAGTAAAGCTTGATGAAGTACTTTATGTTCTGCAAAAACTCTAGCCAAAAAAGGCAACGGGACTCGATGGCATACCGGCCTACATTTTCGAAGACTGCCGAATAGTACTTTGTAAGCCACTACTCTACATCTTTAATAGTGCCTGGCGGAGGCAGTGTTCTCAGAAAGATGGAAAACAACCAAGGTCGTCCCAGTACCCAAAGGTATGTCAGCATCAAACATGAACCAATACAGGCCGGTTGCTGTGCTTTCGACACCAGCTAAAGTACTGTAGGCTGCAGTACACAAGAGCATCCTCTCGCAGGTTAATGTACATCTTTCAGATGAACAACTCGGTTTTAGACCCGACAGGAGCACCACCAGCAACCTAATTAATTATATGAATTATATTGTACCTGAAGTGGTTGCTGGAGGACAGGTAGATGTAGTTTTCTTGGATTAAAAAAAACTTTCGACCTAGTGGATAATGACATACTACTCACAAAACTGGCAGGTGTAAGATTTATGCCCCTATTTACTAACATTTTTTGCTAGTTATATGCGGGACAGAAAGCAGTAATATAGAATATGCGGGGTGTAGGTCAAAAAACTATTTAACCAGGTCCGGAGTAAGTCACGGCAGCAATCTTGGTCGATTGCAATTCGTATTGATGATAAATGACCTTCCGACGGTTGTCAAAGATGCTCATTGCACTCTATTTGCAGATGACTTGAAACTGTATCTTGCTGTTAGGAACAGACAGGATTGCCAAAAGTTACAACAAGATATAGATAGGGTGGTAACCTGGACCAAACATAATAACTTACAATTTAACATCACGAAGAGCCGTGGTAGCTCAGATGGTTAACGCTCGCTGTAAATATAACAGAACACGAGTAACCCGGGTTTGATCCCCGCCGGCTGCAATTTTAAGTGCTGATTTACCACGTGCTCAGCGGTGAATGAAAACATCGTGAGGAAACCTGCATGTCTGAGGAATAAGAAAAAAAATATTTTCAAAGACATGTGAAGTCCGCCAACACGCATTGGGGCAGCGCGGCGGACACTTCCTTGCCCTAAAACCCTCTCAGAAATGAGGGGAGGCCTGTGCCCAGCAGTGGGACATATATAGGCTGTAACTTTACTTTTTAACTTTTTTAACATCACGAAGCGTATAACTATGACTTTCAGCCGTGTACTATCTCCATTTACGTACCAATTCCAAATTAACGGGGTACCAATAGCGAAAGTGTCAGAAGTCAGAGATCTAGGGGTTAATTTCTCCTCTAAACTAGAATTTCGAGAGCAGATAACCAAAATCTGTAAGAAAGCCTACAGAAATTTAGGATTCGTACTACGAGTAGCTACGGACTTCACTAATATAAAGGCAGTTATTGCATTAGGTATATATTTCTTTAGTGAGGGGCCAATTAGAATTCAAAGCGGTCATCTGGTCTCCACATGAAACTAAGAAAAAAGTGATTAATATAAACCTGGAAAAGTGAATTTTATTTAAATCATCAAAATAGTGTTTGTTTTTTTTCTTTTCTTTTTTGACGGTAATGTGAGTCTGGACTATGAACTATTGTAACGTTATGCAAATCAAAAGCTCTTAATAGTATAACTAAATTTTTGATCCACTACGCAAGCGACATCACAGCTCCGTGGTATACAAGGCATATCATAACTTTTTAACGTGTAAGCCGTTTCGTAGGTTCAAATCCCGTTGACCGTTTCATATTTGCTATTATAACTTTTTTCTACGATTCCTAAAATTCAATTGCGTATTCTAGAAAATATTGAGAAAAAATTTGTTAATTAAATGTCAAAAAGGTTTAAGAATTTGGGTGCAGTATAAATGCCTCATTTTCTAACTTTCATAAGTTCATAACAGAGGGTGTTGCAACAGAAACCTACTTGCTTGTTTACAATACTCAATCCATAGTGCCAGCAAAGGGAACAAATGTGACTAATTAGTTATAAGCGACAAACTTCAAATTCGCATTAAAACATTTGTTAATAACGTATATCTATTAATATCCGATATCGACAAAAGATGGAAGAGGAGTACGACTACATTACTTTAAGACCTAGAAAATTTCAGTCAAAATCTTGTGAATCATTAGAAAACGATGGAATTAACGTATCTTCATGCTCCTCGAATTCAGAAATTGCACAAAGAAGCTTTGACCTATCGATACATTTACAAAAGGATACTATTATAGATGAACTAAAAGAGAAATTAAACGACTTAACTTCACAATTACAACAGCACACAAAACGAGTTAGAAAACGTAATAATAGAAAATTGCCAGCTAAAAAAAGTAATAAATAAGTTAAGCACACAAAATAATACACTGAGAACTATATGCTAAAGTCCAGCACAGCATTCAAAGAGAACAGTAACGTCAACAAATAAGAATAAACGACATGTTAAAAGAACTAAAATAAATCAAATCATTGATACACACTCAAACACAACATTCGATAAAGAGTGCAACTTTCATAGATTACTGTATTTATACTAGAGAGTGACTTTGAAAGCGGCCTAAATTCATCTTTAGAAAACAAAAACAATATGCAAAATCAAAAACCTACCAACATTTCCGGAAATAACAATGCCCACGAAATACGACAAAACAATGAAACACTAACCCAAATACAATCAAGGTATAAAACATCGTCGAAATTATCTTCAGTACTTTGTAAAAAAACATTATACATAACTGGAGGACACCAATGTATAGGATTGGCAAATTTGTTAAGAACATAAAGAATGAATACACCTTACGAACATTATCAAATCGAGTCATTTATCAAACCAGAAGCTGACACTGAAGAAATCTTGAAAACATGCCAATTATTTAATATCACATCAAAGGACCGTATTATTTTAAGCGTTGGAGAACATGATAAAAACCCTTATAATATGCATGAATAATGTAATAGCTTCCTAAAAACAGTAGATAAAGAGTGTCTTGTATTAGTTTTAGGAATTCGCACAAATGTGTATTTAAATGAATGGAAACTTAATAATATTTTGAAAATAACCTGTAATCAATACCAAAATTGCCACTTCGTCGAATATACTAAGATTTCGAAAAAATATGATTTATGTAGAAAAATTGATCAAATTATTAATCAAAATTATTATAATTTAAATTTTTTAAGTTTTATGCAACATTCCAGAGTTATTAAGGGAAATATACGCAGGGAAGTATGCCATTGTAACCTTGACACACAAACAAAAATCGTACGTCGTAATACGCCAATAAAAACACAGACTAAAATTACATCCTACTTTTTACCTAGACCAAATATAATCCATAAAGTCCCAACAAAAAAAAACAGCAAAAAAATAACATCATACTTTACATTAATACCACCTAAATCTAAAAATATGCCACAAACATTTTTTGTACCCAACACTAGTAAGTATGTACTAAAACTGATGCATCAAAATATAGCTAGCATTTACAGTAAGAAAAAACTGCTCGAGGAAGCTCTTATTCAAATTCGCCCCGACATAGTTTGTTTATCAGAAACTTTCGTTCCAAAGGGGTGTGAATCAAACGTAAGTATTAATAACTATAATGTAGCATCAACGTACTGCAGGCAAAAAAAAACAGAATAGAGGAGGTGTATGTATATTAGTAAAACTGAACTTGCAATATAAAAATCTAGAAATACTAAAAAAATATGCCACTGATGAAACTTTCGAATGTTGCGGGATTGAAATAATAAACCACAAAATCGTCGTCATATGTTTATATAGAACACACAGCTCTAATATTCAATTATTTTTACATAAGTTAGACACGTTCTTGCATCAGATAACCGAACAAAATAAAAAAAATATAATTATAGCTGGGGACTTTAATATCGATGCTCTCAAACATAGTAGCACAAAGAATATGTTTTTGGATATTCTATTGAATTATAGCTTAATAACTCACATTAACAAACCCACAAGACGTAATGCATGTATAGATCATATAATTAGTAACATTTACAATACTCAGGGGGAACTATTGGAATTAGCATTATCAGACCACAATACAGCGCAAATGCTAAATGTACCTGTACAACAACAAATATATAGCCCTTTGAAATATTTCTTCAAAAGGGATTACTGTGAAGATAATATTACAAAATTCCATGAATGTTTGTGTAGTTTAAATTGGTCACATATTTATATTGAAAATGACATAAATATCGCATTTGATAAATTTCATGACCTTTTCCTGCTAATGTATGAATTATGCTTTCCTCCGATGCGCATTAAAATTTTGAACAAACCATCCAAACCCAGGTGGTTGACTAAAGGTTAAAGGTTAGTTGTAAAACGAAAAGAAAATTACAGTTACAATATTACAAACACAATACTAATGAAAACAAAAT